ACTGCACAGCAGGTTTTTTAAATACTTGATCTTACAGCTTTTAAAATATTGTGTACCTTGAAATTCTCCCCCACCCCCAGTCTCTGTAGCCACCATTTTGCTTGGTTTTTCTGAATTTGACATGTTGGAGCATGTAACTGGAGTCAGGTAATTTTTGTCTGTGACTGGCTTCGTGTAGTTAGTATACTGTACCTAAGGTGTATCCACACTGTAGCCAGTGATGGACTGAATGACATCACAGAGCATGGGTGATGACATCTGGTCTCTTCTCTAGCCCTGCTAGACTCTAACAAGGGCGTCCAAGCAGCGTGACTTAGGCGACCCTCCCTTCGAGAGCACCTCCCACTGCCACTGCTGGGCGGGGCCTCACCCAAAGCTTTGTTCTGTGTGGGACCGTCCCTTAGCCTCTTGACTTGTCTTTGTCTTGCAGGGGAGTTCACAGCAGAGGTCTGGCTTCCTACCTTGCGCCTGTGGCCTGGGCTGGGCTGTCCAGGTCCTGGTGCTTCTGTTTGAGCCCCACCCTGAGACTCTGGGCTTGGTTGTTCCTTTGGTTGAGAAGGTGGCCCTGGGGGATGTTCCTTTAGAGAGGCTGACAGAGTCCCAACACTCTGTTTACAGAGTCTAGTTGCTGTGGGGGGAAACTAATGTTTGTCCATTACGCTGTCAAAAGTCAGAATGTTGCTAGGTACATGTGTCGTTGAGTGATACGGATGCTGTGCTGTAGTAACAAATCACTTCAGGGCTGGGCAGGGCTACCCTCCCTCTGGAGACTGGGAAATCTTTTCAGCTTCTTTCTCTTCCACCTGACCTCCCTTGTCTTCTCTGTCTCTAACCTTCCCTTTCCTCTTTAATAAAAACACAGACCCATTAGCCCAAACACTCTGCAGTGCCATAAAGGGCAGCTAGTTTCGGAGTAGAGCCTGTCATCAGGTGCCAACCTAGGAATGAGGACCTGACTCTCCTTTTAGACATGGTGGAGATGATGCTAATGCAGAATGCACAGATGCACCAGATCCTCATGCAGAACATGATGCTCAAAGCTCTGCCACCTGGGCCCACAGGGCCACGTGCCACGACCCTCCAGGTAGGTTTGGGTGCTGAGATTTAGTCATCGGTTGAGGGATGCTCTTGGGTACCGGTGCAAGGGTTTCTCTGGCTTGTGGGTACGTGGTGAAGGCAATGTCCCCAGTCCCTCTGCATAAGGAATAAGTAATGGAGCCGGGGCACGGAGAACTCTATGCCCAGGCTGTAGTCCCATGATATTCTGCGGCCCTTCCCAACAGTTTGGGCCCAGGTCTAGGGAAAGGATGCTGCAGTCCTGACCTGGCTGTGTACTCTCTGCCAGGACCAACGATGGGTGCACCATGGAGTCTTGCGAGCTGAAAAGCAGAAGCCACCCCCAGTGCACCACCACCACCACTATGCACCCCCCACCCAGCTGCAGGCTGCCTCCACAGGCGCCCCTTCGGGATATTCGGGGTGGCCTCCAGTGGTTGCAGCCACTGCCCTCCCACATGCAGCCAGCTTCTTGCCCACTGTGAGCCACCTGACTGAGCCGACTACCTCCCATGCCAGCTACCCCTAGCACGGAGGTCTAGAGGGAGGAAGCTAGTGTCTTGCAGCAGGTAAGTGGAAAGATGGGCCTGGTCACTACTGCTCAATGTGTGCTGAAGAGCACATGCACCCTGTGGTTAGGCCAATGAACTGTGGCTAATTAGAAGGAGCCAGAAAAAAAATTCAGTTGCAGGTCTCAGCCCCAGTTGCCCGTCAATGTGGAGCCACGTCACCCTCTGGGAAAGCTGTGTCTTAGATCTTTTGACAGCCCAGCAGGACTGGTCCCATAGAGTGACCTTCACCTCAGCCCAGGTCCCGGGGCACCCCTCATTTGACACCCTGGATTTTCCCCTGGAGCTGCACTGAAAACCGTACTGCCTTTCCAGGTGGGTCGGGCCATTCGCCTATCTCAGGAAGCATTGTGGTCTTCCAGCCTTGATTACTCCCCAGGGCCACCTGGGAAAGCTAGGCGACCAAGGCCTCACCCAGGTGAAAACATTTTGTTATGGAAGACTTGTAAGGAAAACAGTTCCAGATCAGAATAAGTCATTAGAGCTACATCCACACTTGAACATTCCTATGGAAGGCTGGCTGGCATGAGAGTCAAATTGAGGCCGGAGACAGAGCTCAGTAGCAGACAGTCTGCTGAACACGTGTGAGGCTCTGATGTGCTACACACGCCCACACACACATCAGGAGAAAGTCAAATATAGCAACTGGGGGAGGCCTGATTGTCGTTCCGGGAACGGCCACTTCATCCTAAAGTGAAAGCAGCAAGCTCAAGAACGTGCGATGTGGTTTCAGTTCAAACATGCAGGGCCATCACGTCTACTCAGCAGCTAAAGGTGCTTGCTGTCAAGTCTGATAATGGAGTTTTATCCCCAGGACACGGCGGGGTGGTGGTGGGAAGGACCAGCTTCTGCAGGTTGTCCCTCTGGCCTCCACAACTGTACTGTGGTGTGCACACACCCCACCTCCACGGCTGATTGATTACATGTAATTACAAATCAAATCAGGAGCTGGGCATGGTGGCACACACCTTTTAGTCCTAGTACTAGACAGGCAGAGGCAGGCAGATGACTAAGTTCGAGGCCAGCCTGGTCTACATAGTTGTTAGTTCCAGGACAGCCAGAGTTGCTCAGAAAGACTCTGTCACAAAAAACAAACAGGAAAGGGCTGGAGAGATGGCTCAATGGTTAAGACTTAAGACCGTTTGTTGTTCTTGCAGAAAACCCAGGTTCAGTTCCCAGTACATGGCAACTCAGTACCGTCTGTGACTCCAGTTCCAGGGGATTCAATGTCCTTTCTGATTTCCATGGGCATCAGGCAAACACATGGTACACATACACACGTGCAGGTAAAACATGAATACACATATAAAAACCACAAGAATGCCTTTAATCCCAGCACTGGGGAGGCAAAGGCAGGCGGATCTCTGTGAATTCAAAGCCAGCCTGGGCTACAGAGTGAGTTCCAGGACAGGCTCCGAAGCTACACAGAGAAACCCTGTCTCAAAAACACCAAAAAACAACCAACCAACCAAACAAAAAACAAAAAACAACCCCCCCAAACAAAAACAACCCAAAAAACCCAAAAAAAAACAAACCAAACCAACCAACCAACCACACACACACACACACACACACACACACACACACACACAACAACCAAGAAACAAACATGTATGAGGTGTGAACACATGTGTGGCCTGCAGTATATATAAATATGGATGCATGCACACACAGTTTACCAGGCATTTTCCCAGAAGCCACACACAGACTGAACCCTGGCTCCTAGAGGAAGGATGATGGCTTTCCCTGTCCCACCTGTCCATCCCCCTGGTCCTCTCAGGTTTCTTTTCATGCGTGTGTGCATGCTTCCTTGACTTCCTGGTGTTTTTCTGTTGTTTTGGTAAAATCGGTTCCCTTTTGGTTTCAGTTTTGTTGTTGCTTGGTTTTCCAGCCCAGGCTGACAACAAACTTACAGCCCTCCTGTTTCAGTCTGAGTGCTGCTAGGATTTCAGGCATGTACAATCACGCCTGTCTCCTTTTTCTGTTTGTTTGTTGAGACAGGGTCTTGCTGCGTAGTCTTGGCTGACCTTGAACTCAAATTCCATGAGCTCCACCTGCCTCTGACTTCGGGAGTGCTGAGACTAAGGGCATGCTAAGCATGTCTAACTTCTTTGTTGTTCTAATGGCTTTTGTTCTTTTGTTTTTGTTTTTTGAGAGGTCTATTATGTAGCTCTGGCTGTCCTGGAACTCACTATGTAGACTGACCAGGCAGGCCTACACTCACAAGGCCTTTCTGTGTCTCCTGAGCGCTGGCTGGGAGTGCGCCACTACACCTGGCTTAATGTTTTATTTTTAAAGATTTGTTATTTTGTGATACTTGATTGAACCCAGGGTTTTGAGCACACTAGCCAAGTACTCTTCCATTACGTTAACACCCATGACCCTTTTACCACTTTGAGACATCATTTCACTGAGTTGCTCAGGCTGGCCTCAAACTTGTAATTCTCCTGTCTCAGCCTCTCTAGTAGTTGGGATCACTGGAGTGCCACATTCCACCTGCCTCTGCAGGTGCTATTTTCAAGTATTATAGTAACTTTCACTGCTTGAGGTTAAGCTTTTTCATTTGCTACATTCCCAACCAAAAAGCTGGTCTCTGCTTTTGAATCCTTGGAACCCCACAGGTCAGAGGCAAGACGGTTCCGAGTTGCCAGTTAGCCTGCGTGGACCTTCCCTGTGGCTGACCTGACTTCCACACAGTGAAGACAGTGATGAGATGTCCACGTGGATGAAGAAGACAAGGCAACACCCTCCCCAGGGAGCTTCAGGGTGGTGACATGCCCTTCCTACAGAACCACCTTTCAGTGTGCCTTAGGGTATGAGTTCAGAGAATCTAGTTTTTGTTAAAAGCATCAATTAAAGACCTCGCACAATTTCCTTTTTTTCATGATGATTTCTAACATGATTTTTTTCTCTCATAAAATTATTAATTTATTGGTAGAGGGAAGACATCTGACAGATGTTGTTTGTCCTGGACGGCCTGGCGTTGCTGGGCTAACAAGGAGGAAGGATGCCAGCACTCAGAGCACCCTGGCTGGACGAGCTCCCTGGGCTTGGGGAAGCAATGGGGAAGTGTGCACGGACACACCCTCACAGTCAGTCTTCCTAGTCCAGTTGCTTGAGGCCCATGTGTGGGAGACTGGAGAGTCTGAGCAGCTTCCGGGGCTTAGGGCTCCCTAGTGACTGGGGGGAGAAGCTTTTCCTGGCCATGCCCCTTAGCTGTGGTGATGGGGACTGAGGGCACGCTGTGCACACGTGTAGCCTGAGAAGATGTACAGCCCTCCCCAGAGATTTTAAAGATGGCCCAGGGATGTGAGCAACCAGGTCCACGCATGGGCCGGAACTTACACATTAGCAACCGATCCATAGATTGCATGTAACTCTGATCAGAATCCTAGATCCTTGGCAGAAGTGGGGCATTGATTCTGGAACAAACACAGACTAACAAAGTAACACAGAGGACCTCCTGGAGCAGCAAGACAGAACCTTCCCCCACAGGCTGGGGGCCAGGCCAGAGTGGCTGGGCTCAGGGACAGCTGCTGAGCAAATCACAGATTTAGGTCAGCAGAGCAACGGGCTGGGGATGTGGTGGGGCACTTGCTAAGCATGACAAGGCCTTAGATTCTATCCCTGGCACTGCGAAACCAAACCAAACCAAACCAAACCAAACCAAACCAAACCAAACCAAACCAAACCAAACCAAACCAAACCAAACAACACCCACCAAGCCAGATCAGAAACATCAAACAGAAGAAAAAGGAACACAGAAGCAGTCATTGTCCAAAGATGATAAACCAGGCCGGGCGGTGGTGGCGCATGCCTTTAATCCCATCACTCAGGAGGCAGAGGCAGGAGGATCTCTGTGAGTTCGAGGCTAGCCTGGTCTCCAAAGCGAGTTCCAGGTGCAAAAATACACAGAGAAACCCTGTCTCGAAAAACCAAAACCAAACAAACAAACAACAACAACAAAAAACCAAAGATGATAAACCAGTTAGATGACTGTGAAGGAGAAAATGGGCCGGCACAGGTAGATGAGGGTAGACACGGCAGAGGGGTCAGAAGACCCTATCTAGATGCAAGGTCATTGGCTACATGCTGGGAAGACAAGTGGTCCAGACTTGCATAGGTATTCAGCATGTCAAGGAAAGCTGAACTTCAACTGGACCAGAATTCTGCACTCCAGGGCTTGAGCAGATATCATGCCTCTAACAGCCAATAGGAGAAGCCCCAGCAGCAGGGCCACAAGGGCCAACGAGATGTCAGTGGGATGGCTCAGATGGTAAAAACTTTCTGTCAAGCCTGACAACCTGAGTTCAACCTCTTGGACTCACATCATAGAAGGAGAGAGCCATCTTCTCCCAGTTGTCCTCTAACCTACACGTGCATGCTGTAGATGAACAGTCTTATTAAATAAGAAACAGAGCCAAATGCAGAGTTAAAAGCCCAAGAGGTCAGTGCAGTGGCTGAGAGCTAAGACTTAAAACCATCTTTCTTTGTTTTTTTTTTTTTTTCTGAGACAGGGTTTCTCTGTGTAGCTTTGCGCCTTTCCTGGATCTCGCTCTGTAGCCCAGGCTGGCCTCCAACTCCCAGAGATCTGCCTGCTTCTGCCTCCCTGATTGCTGGGATTAAAGGCGTGCGCCACCTCCGCCCGTCTAAAACCACCTTTCTTACCCTTAGCTGCCCTGTCTTGTCTTTCCCCTCAGAAAGAGACCTACTTCCTGTGTGTCTGTCCTTTTATTGACTTTCTGTTCTGCCTTCTCATTGGTTGTAAACCCAACCACATGACCTCCTCGTCACTGCCTGTCTGTACAGACCTCCAGGTCTTCTAAGGTTGGTATTGAGATTAAAGGCGTGTGTCTCCATGCTGGCTGTATCCTTGAACACACAGATCTGCCTAGCTCTGCCTCTCAAGTGCTGGGATTAAAGACGTGTGCCACCACCGCCGCCCAGCTTCTACTATGGCTTGCTATTATCTCTGACCCCCAGGCAACTTTATTTATTAACATACAAATAAAATCACATTTCAGTACAAATAAAATATCACCATGGAATGCTGTGGAATATGTGCACCCATACACATACATCAAATTAAAATAACAACAACCATAAGGGGATTGGAGATGGGCCTGACTGAATCTCTGGCCCCTGGGTGACGGGCTTTGTAGGTCACTGGGCTTTCTTATGGTGTTTGTAGCCAATGGCTTAAGAAAAGTGAGGGCATACAGTAGCTCTTAGGAGTGGCGCAAACAAGGTTCAGGTCACAGAGTTCCTGAGGGCTGGAGTGGGAGCCTTGCCCTTTTGAGTCTGCTTCTTTTGCAGGTGCCTGGTCTCCTAGGAAGAACAGATTTCAGTGTTCTGAGACGAGAGTTCCACTTCAGGGAGACAGGGCAGTCCACCCAAACTCTACCAATAGAAACCCAGAGAAGCATACAGAACTTACATGTTTCTTCTCTTAGAAATGGCTTAGAACTACTGTTTACAATAATCACGACAGTCTTCTAAACAGAGCAAGAACCAGCCAGACACCTCTTCGGTACTTTCTGAAGCCAATTTCCACTCACGGGACTAAGCTTTAGTGTGGGCTGATGTCATCCAGGACGGCATGACCAGCAGAAAGCCACCATGAAGGGGCAGGACTCTGTCCATCAACTTCGGTATCTCAGGGCATCCAAGCATTAGTAGAGGCCCCTGCTCAGGGGCTGGAGTCTGCTTCCGGTGTAGCGATTTAGTTCCTCCAGCACCAGCTTCTCCTGGTTGTACATCTGGAACACAGCAGCACACAAGCTGACAAGAGGGCACTCCTGGGACCCTTGTGCCAAGCCAGACTCCGCCCAGATTTCACCTCCTGCCCAAGCCCCCATCTCAGCTCTGCACAAGTCTAAGGGTAGCCCCTGAACAGAGATGGAAAGAGCTATGGGTGGACAGGAGGGACAAAGGAGTAAGGACAGCAGAGAGTGGGCCCTCAAAGGGTGGGGGAGAAGCTGGGACACCCAGGGGACCAGGGAAGTGTGGAAGTGAGAGAGTGGGCATAGGAAGGGCTGGGTGGTAGCAGAGCCAGAGGGGATCTACTTCTAATTGAAGAAAAAAAAAAGTTTATTCATGGGGGCTGGAGAGACAGCTTAGTAGTTAAGAGCACTTACTGCTCTTACAGATCGCCTGGGTTTGGCTCCCAGCATCCACATCAGGCAGCTCACAACCACTGCAACTCCATTTCCAGGAAATCAACTCCCTCTTCTGGCCTCTGCAGGTACCTGCGCACACATGGTGCACATAAACTCATGAAGGTTCACACACATAAACAGAAAATCTTTTTTTTTTTTTTTAAGTTCATTCTGAGCAATAGAATATTTGCCTACAAATATAACCTAAGCCTATTAGACACCGTAGAGGACTTTATAAATGTGGTACCTGTTGGCCTTTAGAAAAAAAGAACCACTGCTTCACATTACCTGTAGCCAACTGACAGGTAAGTTTTTTTGTTTGTTGGTTTGTTTTCTGTATGTGTGAGATTCTTCTAAACATTAAGCATCTCCTGACCCCCATCAATAACTGCTAGCATTTCAGGGAATTTAGCTTTTAATCTGTCTGTCCAGGTGCCTTTCAGCAGGGAACTATACAAGTATCATAAGGAGTCAGGTACTTAAAAATACTACCTCAGCTTTTTGAGACAGGATTTCTCTTTGTAGCCCTGGCTATCCTGGGACTCACTTTGTAGACTAGACTGGCCTTGAACTCACAGAGATCCTCCTGTCTCTGCCTCCCCTCCCCTAGTGCTATGATTAAAGGTGTGGACCACCACTGCCCAGCTACTACCTCATCCTTTTAGGCCACACAGATTGGAGGCCATAGTTCCTGTCTCTTGTGACGAGGTGCATGGGCCTGGGCAATAGCCTAGGGGTTAGGGTTACATTGTGGGTAGCACAAAGTCCCTTGCACGGGTATTGCTCTTACCTTTTGCCACTCAGCCTCGGAGTTGTGGGTGAAGCCCAGAAGGTGACAGAGTCCATGGGTGGCTGTCACCTGTTAAGAGTAAATGAGAAGTCAGCTCAGGGGATAATCGACCAAGAAGCTGCCCCTTCAGGGTCACACACTACCCCTGTAAGACTGAGTTGTCCTATGCCAGGACCCTGGAGTAGGACATATGGTTGCTTTACTGTGCAGAAGTTAAAATACCTCAGTTTCCTCCTGTCTAGGCAAGTGCTCACCATTGAGCTACATTCTAACCTCAGTTCCTTCCTATCTTAAAATGGAACATTTCCCACAGTTCACTTAAGTAGTGGGGAGCGACACTGTTTGAGCTGGGGCATAGGTAACGAGAGCTGACTATCCCTGTTGAGGCAGTACTGGGAATCTAATTAGAATTACGAAGGAAAGAAGACTGGCTCGTGGTTGTAGTCCCAGATCTAGCAGGATGAGGGGAAGTATTAACTGGACCAGAGAGTTCAAGACCAGCCTAGGCGATGTAGTGACTGCATATTTTCATTTATTTATTGTTTTAAAATTGTGTGCCTGTGTCTGTGGATGTGCATATGAGTACAGATGCCCTGGGAGGCCAGAAGAGGACAATGGATTCCCTGGAGCTGGAGTTAAAGGCAGCTGTGAAACACCCCATGGGTGTTGGGACTACAACTCAGGTTCTCTGAAGAACAGTGCATCCTATTAACCACTGAACCACTGAGTCATCCCTCCAGCCTGAGCCTACATCTCTTTAAAAAAAAAAAAAAAAAAAAAAAAAAAAAAGGTTAACCAGCAAGGAGAGGCTAAATACAGGAAAGGGGAGGGAGCAATACAAAGACACCTGTGGACACTAGTGTGCACACAGGAGTCTCCTCTATGGCTTGAGTTTTGTTAGCAAGCACATGTAATGTTGCATCCTCGCTTACCGTTAGGATGTCATAGTAATCTTCATTTTCTTTGCACTGCTGGAAGATATATTCCACTCCTAGGAAAACATCTCCCAAATTATAATCATCCGCTGAGCATGGCTGAGGAAATTCACCTGCTTTCAGATTCTGAAAATGAGGAAACAAAGTTGGAGGCCTTTCAAACAGCAGCCCAAATACAAGGACTTGGCTCACTTGTCCAGCAGAGGACACAGGGCTCTTGACCACAGGATGCTCAAACCACACGATTGAAGCTAAGTACCATCAAAGAGTGCGAGGGGGTGGAATACGTAGTTATTACACACAATGGCCCTCACATGCTGTGATCTCATCAAATTATTTACTTTCCATTTCTATTATCGCTACCAAAGTAAGTTGAATTCTATATAGTTAAGTTGGCATCTGGACACAATCACATTTTTACCTGCTTGCCTGCTTCCATTTTTCTCCCATTAAGGAAACCAATAAGGCGAACATTTAGACACATGTACCTTCTTTATTCTTTGGATTTACTTCTGTAGGTGTGATACTGGTAGTTATGACATATACACATTTTAAGTCTTTTTTTTTTTTTTTCCCCAAGACAGGGTTTCTCTGTTGTAGCCTTTCCTGGATCTCGCTCTGTAGACCAGGCTGGCCTTGAACTCACAGAGATCCGCCTGCCTTTGTCTCCCAAGTGCTGGGATTAAAGGCGTGCGCCATCACCGCCCGGCTCAAAAGGATTATTATAATTTATGGTGCTAACAGTGGGTGAAGGTATGTAGTTACTTATAGCTATCACAAGGTAACTTGTTGAAAATGTTTACCAGTTTTTACTTTTCATTTTTCTATCCAAGCATTCACTAGTGAGGTACAGTTAAAATTGCAGATGCCCTTATTTGGATTCCCTGATAGCACAGAGGGAGGGAGAGTGGTCCCTGCAGAGAGGAACTGTGATGTTTAGGGATAGACAGACTTAATGGGCATGGGTCATAGGCCATAGTGCTTCACTGCTTTTGTGTCTCATTTGCTTGTTTTTGAGGCAGGGGCTTGCGATGGCTATTCTTAGTTGTCAACTTGACTCTATCTGGATTGAACTACAACCCAGAAATGGAGGGCACACCTGTGATCCGGATCTTGAGGTTGGAAGACACATACCTGTGATCCGGATCTTGAGGCGGGAAGACACACCTTTAATTTGGGCCACGCCTCTACAAGGACTAGGAATTGGAAGGTTTTGTTCTTGGCCTGCTTGCCCTCACCTTGTCAGTACATCCAGTCCTTCGCTGTCATTGGAGCCTACTGTTTCGAGATTCCAGCATGTACAGAAGACCATCGCAGATACTTAGCCTTGTGGGCAACTACTAGACTCTTGGACTTTCCACTCACGGCTAGTCACTGTTGGATTAGTTGGACTGCAGCCTGTGAATCATTCCAATAAATTCCCTTTATATATATATTCATTCTATCTGTGACTCTAGAGAACCCTGATTAATACAGGTTTTTGTTATTAGGTTTTTTAGGTCTGGCTGTCCTGGAACTTACTCTGTAGACCAGGCTGGGCTCGAACTCAGAGATCCACCTACCTCTGCCTCCTGAGCGCTGGGATTAAAGGCATGGGTCACCACTGCCTGGCAGATAGGGGCTTATTATGTGGCCCTGTCTGGCCTTGAACTCACAAAGACCTGATTGCCGCTGCCTCCTGAATAGATGGGAATAAAGGCATGTACACCAGGCCAGATGTCAATGCATTTTCGATAAATTCCAAAATCCAAGATGATCATATCTGTAATATAACTAACAGGAACCCTTCTGGAAGAAAGGTAGGCTACATGTGAGGAACACATTCTTTTACCTCATGAAATGGGAAAGAAAGCACATCAGTTGGGATGTTTTTCTTCCTGTAAATCCTATTAATGTGCTGAATACTCTTATTGTCAATACAGATGATCCCCAGGTCAAAATTCTTCACTCCTAAAATACTCCGGACCATATCCATCTTCCTGCGAAGTGGCACTCTTCTGATGGGGACCACCCGCTGCAGATTTTTAATCACCAAACTCATTTTGGGAAGAACATCCAGCCCTGGGTTCAGTCCTCAGCTCCGGGAAAAAAAAAATGGTTGGAAGGAACCTGCAGTCAGAGTTCAAGAAAAGACCCATCAATAGTAGAAAGTGATAAATTATGTAAAAATACATACGTACTCACAATAAATCAACGTTATTGCTGGGCTGTGGTGGCACACGCCTTTGATTCCAGCACTCAGGAGGCAGAAGCAGCAAGATCTCTGAGTTCAAGGCCAGCCTGGTCTACAGAGCTAGTTCCAGGACAGCCAGGGCCACACAAAGAAACTGTCTCGAGAAACCAATAAAAAAAAAAAATAAACAAATATACATACAAAAGCTTTATTTGATGGATTTTATTGGCAATTCTAAGGGAATTTACATTTACCATAGGAAACTATGAAACACGGTAGACTGGGCACAGTGTGCAGAATAAGGTGGTTTGGAGCGGTTGCTATGGTGTAGAACCAGGTAAGGGTGAGCGTGGGTGAAAAGATGGGGTCTCTGTGGGTCCAGGGTCTCTCGAGCATTTGGTTGGGTAGAGCCAAGCACGAACATGGTGCATCTACGCCACACAACAAGAAATCAGCACACACTTACCGAAGCAGGTAGCGTGGGAAGCCGGGGACCAGGCGGATCGCCTGCCGGAAGATTAATAGAAGCACACCCCAGAGAGCGGAAGCCGGATGCTGAGGACCGGAAGCCGGTCCGACGGGTTTGCTGTCCGCCGCACTCTTCTAAGGGCTGGCCCGCAGCAGCCGGTTTGAGATAGTGGGTTGGGCCTGGTGGCGACCGGATGTTGACTGTGAATAAATACAACCGGCGCTCGCGACAGGGCGATATCTGGCGGAACCGCTCCCGCGGCGGTCTCCGCGAACTGCGTTCCTGCCGAGTTGCTGAAGGCCTGGCTTCGCCATCTTCGCCCGAAGGTTTCTGTCGACCCTACGGCTTGTTTCCTAAGTATTGCAAGCGTAGGGAACAAAACGTAGATCTAGACCAGGGCAAGGCATCTCAAGTTCGAGTTACTGGGAGGAAAATGAGATGGTAGGAAACCAAACCAGTGACAGTTTAACAGTATTACATTGTAATTCTCTGGCCCTGGAGATCGCAAGAATCTGGCGTAAGTGATGTTTTTTCCGTCTAATTACTGAGATTTTTAGCTGTAGCTAGACCCGGTGGGGCATGCCTGTTGTCCCAGCGACAGGGAGGCTAAGGCAGGAGAAAGAATCGTAATGCCGTGCTTGACTGTATAGTAAGTTTGAGGCAAGCCTGAGCAAAGTGAGACATTGTCTTAACAAAACAAACCTTTAAACCTCCATTACACAGAGAGTGATAGATTTGTACTCTCTTACCGTGTCCAAAACAGGAAGAACCGGTCGGTTCTGTGAGTGGTCGGCCCATTGTGCGTTTGCCTTTTAAACTATTCTTAGAAAGATGGGTGGTGGTGGAGCACACCTTTAATCCCAGCACTCGGGAGGCAGAGGCAGGTAGATCTCTGTGAGTTCAAGGCCAGCCTGGTCTACAGAGCGAGTTCCAGGGCAGGCTTCAAAGCTATAAAGAGAAACCCTGTCTTGAAGGGAAAAAAAAAAAAAAAAAAAAAAGAAGTGTTCTTAGAGTATCTGTGATTTAAGACTTGTAGCAAAATATGCTGGCATATTCTGAACTTTTGTTTTTCAGGTTATCCTGAGGATGAAGGAGAGCTTCCCCAAGCAACAGATAGTTTAAGGAAGTGGATTAATTGTGTACAGAGTGTATTTATTGACTTCAGATAATTGGGTTGAAGATGAACCCGGTGAACCCCTTCAGTGGGCAGCAGTCCAGTGCTTTTGCCCTGTCTTCTAGTACCACAGGAACATTTCAGACCAAGTCACCATTCCGATTTGGTCAACCTTCTCTTTTTGGACAAAACACACTGGGAAAGAGCCTTGGATTTTCACAGGTATCAAACTTTGCATCACCCTCTGGAGTAAGTCATTCTTCCTCATTGCCAACATTTGGACTCACCCAAACCTCCAGTGCTGGACTGTTCACTAGTCTTGAATCCACACCTTCTTTTGCAGCTACCTCTGGGTCTTCAAATCCATCTGTGCCGGGAAATACAGGATTTAGTTTTAAATCGCCCTCTGGTGTTGGAGTTTTCTCAAGTGGCTCTGCTTTTGGGCCAGAAACTGGAGAAGTAGCAAGCTCTGGTTTTAGGAAAACAGAATTCAAGTTTAAACCTCTGGAAAATGCAGTATTCAGACCAATACTGGGGGCCGCTGAGTCAGAGCCAGAGAAAACCCAGAGCCAAGTTGCTTCTGGATTTTTCACATTTTCCCATCCCATTAGTAGTGGGTCTGGAGGCCTGAACCCTTTTTCTTTTCCCCAGGTGACAAATAGTTCAGTGACTAGTTCAAATTTTGTCTTTTCAAAACCAGCTAATAGTAATACGACATCTGTCCTCACCCCTGCTTTGTCCAACCAAAATGTAGAGGAAGAGAAGAGGGCACCTAAGTCAGTCTTTGGAAGTTCCAATAGTAGTTTCTCCACTTTCCCCATGTCATCTGGATCTTTGGGGGAGCCCTTCCCAGGCAACAAAACAGGCAACCGTCAAGGATGTGAGGAAGCCGTCTCTCTGGTGGAGCCAATTCCTACCCCCTTGAAAGGACTAAAAAGGAAAGAGGACCAGGATCGCTCCCCAAGGAGACACTGCCACGAGGCAGCAGAAGACTCAGACCCTCTGTCCCGGGGAGACCATCCTCCAGATAAACGACCTGTCCGCCTAAATAGACCCCGGGGAGGCACTTTGTTTGGTCGGACGATACAGGACGTCTTCAAAAGCAATAAAGAATCGGGTCGCCTGGGCAGCAAGGAATCTAAGAAGGAAAGCGGCTTTGTGGAGTCTGGGGAAAGTGACCACATGGCCATCTCAGGAGGAAGTCAGTCTACCCTGGCACCTTCTCGGCTTCCTGCTGTGAATAAAGAGGAAGAAACAGAAGGTCGAGATGAAAAAGAAGGTGAGTTCTAGATGTGCACAACACAGGATACCCTGCTGCCAAGCTCTTGTGTGTTTCCTGGTGTTAGCTTGATTTAAAGCCCCACCAAATATTAGAGATCCTACCGTAGAGTCTTGAGGCCGCCTTCCATTCATGGACACTTGCTTTGCTTATACGCAGTCGTGACTCCTTTTGCTCGGAAGTGTTCTACCCAGGGAACTTATGTGTCTGCTTTCTGAATTCCTAGATTCTCTCAGGGGAGCATCTGTGCGCCAAAGCAAAAGAAGCGAGAGCACCGACAGCCTGGGGGGCTTGTCTTCCTTAGAACTGACAGCCATCCAGTGCAAGAACATCCCTGACTATCTCAACGACAGGGCCACCCTGGAGAAGCACTTCGGCAAAATCGCCAAAGTGCAGCGGGTCTTCACCAGGCGCAGCAAAAAGCTCGCCGTGGTGCATTTTTTCGACCATGTGAGTACTCCCAGCTTGCCTCTTGTTGCTCCAGATTTGAACTTTGTGACGTTTTGTTTTTGTTTTTGTTTTCTTTTTCTTTTTCTTTTTCTTTCTGGTTTTTTGACACAGGGTTTCTCTGTGTAGCTTTGCGCCTTTCCTGGAACTCACTTTGTAGACCCGGCTGGCCTCGAACTCACAGAGATCCGCCTGGCTCTGCCTCCTGAGTGCTGGGATTAAAGGCGTGCGCCACCACCGCCAGGCTTTTGTGACATGTTTTCCCCTCATGCAGAGGATGTTATACAAACACTACCACTGAACTGTGTTCTGAGTCCTTGGTAACTTGAAAATTTTTTAAAATTATTTTTATGTATAAAAATAATTTGCCTGAGCACCACTCGAATGCCTGGTGCCCTGGAGGCCAGACGAGGAGGGCATTAGATCCCCTGGAACCGGAGTTACAGATGATTGTGAGCTGCCGTGCGGGTGCTGGGAACCAAACCCAGTCCTCTGGAAGAGCAGCCGGTGTTCTTTAGCTGCTGACTCTGCAGTTTCAGCTTTGTCACTTTTAAACTCCCCTCCTTGTGACCTATAAGTTGTTTGCTTGATGGACTATAGGGGAAACACTCGAGTATCTCAGTCTTTTCTCTTTAAATATCTCATTGTAGGTTTAAAATTATATATATATGGGGGGGCCATGAAATTAGAAAAGGGATCCTAAAAGAAGAGGAAAATATCTTAAGAGGGGGAGGAGGTAATAAAGAGGGTAATGAACATGTGATGTTAATGAAATGGCATAATGAATATTATATATAATATATAATACACATATATATATATATAATTTATATATACTATATATACAACCCATACTAGAAATGCTTACTGAAATAATATTTTAAGTATCTCATTCTTCACTTGAGGTTGAGATGGTGGTGTTCATTTTCCTGACTTTGGGTGTGCATGTCTGAGGATCTCTGAGTTTGAGGCCAGCCTGGTGTACACAGTGAGTTCCAGGATAGCCAGGACTACACAGAAAAAATTATTATTTGTGTATAATTATTTTGCCTTTATGTATGTCTGTGCACTACATTCATGCTTGGTCCCTGTGGAGGACAGAAGAGGATGTTGATCCCTTAGAGCTAGAGTTACAGATGGTTGTAAACTGCCATATGGGTGATGGGAATTGATTCTGGAAGAGCAGCCAGTGCTTAGAACCACTGATCCATTGCTCCAGGCCCTGGCCTAGAATGTTTGACTTTTTTCTCCCTTTTCCTGAGTGGTTGGTCTGATTGAAGGTGTGCACTACCCTGCCTGGCAGTCATACTACTATCTATTTCCAGAATATTCTCATCATCCCAAGCAGAAATTCTATAATCACTAAGTATTTCTCTATTCTCTTACCAGCCTTTGGTTACCTCTATTTTTCTGTCATTATGAATTTGCCTATTGTTGTAGAATGTTATTTTAAGGTGTGTTACTTTTGTTTATGTTGCATTTGTTTAACTCTGTGAAGCTGTGTTACTGTGCCTGTCTAGAACACCTGATGGTCTAATGAAGAGCTGTATGGCTATAGCAAGGCAAGAGTAAGGATAGGTGGGGCTGGCAGGCAGAGAGAATATATACTGGGAAGAGAGATCTAGGAGCCAGAGAAGGAGGAGGACTCAGAGGTCAGCCACCCAGCTACATAGCAAGCCACGGAGAAAGAGTAAGATACAGAAGTAACAGAATGGGAAAAGCCCAGAGGCAAAAGGTAGATGGGATACATTAAGGAAAGCTAGCAAGAAATTAGCCAAGCTAAGGCCAGACATTCGTAAATAAGAATAAGCCCCTGGGTGTGAATTTATTTGGAAGCTAGGTGGTAGGCCCCCAGATAGAGCAAAAACTAACAATAACAGCCTCTTCTAGGTATTTCATGTATGTGGAATCATACAACTTTTCTTTTTTATAGCTTATTTCACTTGGCATGTTCA